CGGCCCCCCCGGCCCGGGCACATTGTGATCCCAAGTAAAAGGCAGGAGCCAGCATATCTGTGCACATATTTGCTTTTGCTTGTCAAAACTCTGGACAGAGTTACATTTCTTCCTGTATTTATTAGTTTCATCTGTCTTGAAGCACAAACTGCAAAAATTATAAGTGGATTGACATCACATCATCTTGTGACTTTACTGGGGCTGCTGCCTGCGGCAATTCTCCTCTGCTGTCTGAAACAACACTGCTGGAGGAAGCAAGGCAGATATTGCTGTGCTGCCTACAACCCGGCTCGCAGCAGTACTGGCTGCAGGGAAACGAAGGAAGCCCGGGTTGATACCTGCGATCTCTCACACGCACGGCCGTAAGCCTGGCGGCTGTCTCTCCGTCGGCAGGGAGGCAGCAACCACGCCGAGGCTTTGCCCCCCCTGCACGGGCTCCCTTCCTCCTCCCAGCCCCGACGCTGGGACCCACATCCCGGACCCATGGAAGAGGATGATGAAGTTCTTGTTCACTTTGGCAGGCTCGGCCTTGCGCCACGGCGCATCCACAAGCGCAGCTGCCTGCTCACACACACCACGTCCCCGCTCCCCGAGCCTGGCACTTTAACAACACTGAGAACAGTGGCACCAACATCAAATACTAACAAATACTAATGTATTCTTTCATACCAGTGCAGCAGTTGTCTTGCCAAATTATTACAATGATCCAGACTTAGTCTAAAAGAAAACCCCCCAAAACTAATGAAATATAAGAACGCCTTCATCATAGATAACTATTAATATTTGCAAGTGACCCAACAAAAGAAATGAAGATGAAAAATTAAAACCCTGCTGTCATAGCATTACAGGATAGTGATATCCACTATGCAAACTGTGTAATTCCCATTCATATTTCAGTCAATCCTCACAATTAAATAGCACTTCCCTTCCTAGTAACAGCCAATATATGCATATCAATCAATACAGCTCATTTATATTGCAGTGTAAGGCTACGCACTCACTTGTTAAGTTTACTGTAGAACAAGCCACACGTTAACATCCCTGTCATCACAAAACTCCAAATTTTATATGGATTTGATGAAGTCAACGCAATATTTCAGTGTTGAAATGCCCTCTGGAAACCCCCCTTCCCCTTACTCAATCCATCAGTCTGGGGCTTCCCCAAGTCACCAATGCAAATACTTGACACAGCCTGGGGCTTTCCAACTCACTCCAAGACTAAAGACATCCCGCTCCCGTTCATTTCAGCTCTGTCAGATGGTTGGGAGTAACTCCGTGATGCTGTGAACCTGAATACGTAACACGTACGGTGCCTGTCAGCTCGGCCTCTCTAGGTGTGGGAGCTAAAATTCTAAGTTTCAGGCAAATTATAGTCTGCCCATAACTGACTATCTGCTCACATATGTGCAAAATCCTATGGGTCTGCGCTTTCTTCCAGCTTGCCTGATTTTCTAAAAATCACTTGTTTTATGCATATTAAGTAGAAGGTCCACCAGCCCATCCCTCTAAAATTGGCTTGGGAACGGGGAAGCTCTTCTCCATACCTCCTGCACGGACTCCGGCTCGGGAGCGGGCAGCCACACGGGAAGGTGAAGGAATCAGAAGGAAATTAATGGGTAACAGCAGTGACAAGAGACAGTAAACAGTGCCGTAAGCGAAGCCTACGTCTACTAACCCTGAGCTTCCTCATTAGCAGCATGAAAGCTAGGACAGCTCCACAGCTCGCAAGAAGAAAGGCCAGCAGCACTGGAAGCTGAACTGAGAGCTGCTACCGAGCCAAGCAGAAACCTGAGGAGCAGCCCATACTTAAAATGAAGAACTATTAAGAGAGAGCGGTCACTACAGAGCACCCTTCCTAGCATCTTTGATATAAAACCTAGCACAGTTATTTGTGTTTTAAAGGGCTCTGAACCACGCTGGGCAAAAAAACGTTCTTCAGGGACGTGTCATGAAGAGAAGCAAATATTGTGACTTCCCCGGGCACCTTCCTCTGCTGGCAAGTCACAGGCCAAGCAGCAGCCAACATCGGCTACTCTGTGGCAGCGCAAGGTAATGCCTCATTTAGATAAAAACCCTGTTGTTACTGACTCAAAAGTTACAGAGGGACTAATTAATAAGTGAAATATTAACTGTTTTGAGTCTGTTCAGTGCTACTGCTAATTGTATCAGCATTGCTTAGGGCTCTCCCTGCCATCTCAAACTCTAACTTCCAATAAAGTGCGGTTATCCTGACAACTCGGACCCTTGGTAAACCCAAAGGTGGACCTAGTGATAACCCATATCCAAAAAATATTCCCAGAGGTTCATTTGGGTTGCTGGCATGAAACCGACTGCTCTTCCAGAGAAAGATGCTGCTGCTGGGCACAGATGAGGATAAAATATTTTTCAGAGATTTGAGCAAGCACATTGGCAACGCCCACCTCCGTCCCAAGCCAGACTTGCTAATCTAATAAAATCCTGAAGCCTGAACATTGTCTGTGTGGAATGCAGCAGTGTCCTGCAGAACTCCAAGTAATTTGGGAGCCATCCTTTGGTTTTCACTCAGGCAGATTTCCATCAGGCTTGCTGGGACGTCTGGTTGAGCCCTGACTGCAGAACTGTGCCTGCAGCCCTAGCGCTGGGTAACGTCTCTATTTTGGTGCAGAGGCATCGAGGGCTGGCATTAAGACCACACACTGTGGTGCCCGAGACAGAGACGGAAACTTCTACCAAAGCATCAGAGTTCAGAAGAGCAGTGAGCATTTCACACCGACTCAGAAAAACAATCAACGGGGTTTAAAACAAGATGTTCACTCTTCTCCCCGGACTGGATGAAGCGTCTGCATCTGGCAGCACTGACAAATATTCTGAATTGTTCGATGCTTTCTGGAACAGAGGCAGAATAGGTTACAGCCTGAATACTGCCTGAAGTGCTTCTCCATCTTAAAATAGTCAGGACAGTGAAAGGATTAGAAATCTCTGTCACTCGGGACAGTGCCCGAGCTGTGCAATTTTAATCTTAATATAGCTACAGTAAATTGCAGAAGCAGAGCTCCGAAGAGCCATCCGAGCTTGCAGTTCTGCCACGACAATGCAACTCCAATCAGACTCTTGGCAAGCGATCCTTGGTTTCAGAAGACAATAGGTAGCAGCAGCTACTGGATACTGACACTATTCCAGGCACTAAAACATAGTAAAAAGAAGTTGGACAGTTAATACCATTCATCTGAAAAACGGTAAGAGGATGATGCCAGCAGTTCTGAACATGCTGGTGAGATGGATTTAGTTATCCCTGTGTAGGTTAGCTCCATTTCTACAAAGAACCTGCTTCAAGACAGAAAAGATAATTTAGTAACTGATATAGGCAATGAGCTAAGTAAATTTTCTGTTACTACAGTAAATACATCCATTGCTCTGAAAACATAAAAGCAGGGAACAGCTTGTTTTATTTTACTGCACAGATACACTCCTAAGTTGAAGGTATTAGTGGCATATTCTCTCTGCGAAAGGAGAGCAGACAGAACGAACGGATCCGTGTCTGAAAGGCAGCACTCAGTTCAGGGTTTATTCCAGTGAGTGTACAGCGCCGGTGTCACCCCAGGCTGGCAGGGAAAAGCCCCACACAGGAGCAAAGGGCGCTTGATTCCGGCTTCTACGGACGCAGAGCCCGGCAGCACACCAGCCTCCTCCAACACGCACCCCCTGCGATGAAACCGCTACGGTAGGAAATGCTTCACCCCCTGAAAAAAATTCATGTCGCAGACAGCGTATGTATGCTTTTCCATTCGTGGCAGTGACTGGTTTAGTTACAAACAGTGGCATACTACCATCCAGAGAGACATGATTACTTAAAATAAACCTATGTAAACACATAGTCTTATATAACTTATATATAAAAGATATATATATAAGTTTTATTTGTGTATACATAGATATAAATACGCACGCACACACACGCACACACAGGCACACGCCCCTAACACAAAGCACAGAACACACACATGGAAATACTGTAAATGATGCTGAATGGAAATCTAAGAATATAATTAAGAAATTATTAGCAGGTTTAAAATTGAGTTAAAAAACTATTCAAGGTGTCTTTAATATTTAAGTTCAAGTAAGGGCCAGAATGCCCACAGATTAGTACTGATAAAAAGAGCTGGCATTATATTTCCCATATTATGCCAAAACTCATGAGTTATTTCTCATTGTCAAACTCATTGTCATTTCGCCATCAGGGCACCTCATCAACTAGAAAGAGGTTTTTTTAGGAAACAGTGATTTTAAAGACTAGGGTTAACAAACAATATTGTTTAGGCACCCTCAATCATAAACTAATCCTAAAAACCACGCACGCCTTAGAGTATCAGAAGAGAACTAGTGAGACGCGGACATCCACACCCACAGTATTCAGTGGCACAAACAGGCCTTTACAGTAAAAAAGGCAGTACTGGAGATGGGGGATGAAAAGGTGACACAGTGGTGGCCTTTAAAACAGCAACATTTACCAAGAGTGACTCTCCAGTAAACTTCTGAGATACCACAGATGCTCCGTGTTCAGGAGATACAGAACCATGGTGGTATTTCAGCGGCGACCGTGAGTGCAAGTTGGGTTTCAGTGGCAGCTAAAGCTATCGTTTACATGTGCTCCAAGGTGATAACAAACACCTCTAACAACACTGCAAGGATTGTTGGGGATATTTAGTATGGCTAAAAACCCTGGTACCAGTGTCTTATATCAGAAATCACTTTATTAGAATGTAAATGTAGTGTACAAGCACCAAATCGTTTTAGCTTAACTGTTTAATGGATATTCATTATATAAATGACTAGTGATTTAAAAGAGAGATCTTAGAAAAAATGAATTTTTTTTTCCTTTTACCTTTTTTTTTCCCTTTTGTTAAGATTATTCACTATTTCTATTCTGATAGAAGACTCTGAAGATTACTGGTACCCTGGTGTGTACAACCTTGAGTCTGCACACACGCACGCACACACACGCACACACAACTGTACACCTCACTGCTACATCAATAGCCTTTTAAATAGAGAGCCCCAGCTCTGACACTGGGACCTGTACATCAGATATATTCTCTTTGTGCATTTCGGCATCATTATCACCACTCAAGTTCCACATTTATCACAAATCGAGGTGGTCTTGAACGTAAGAACAACCTGTCCCTCACCCTCTCTAATAAAGCCACGATTAAGTCTCGTAATTTCTTTGTTTTTCCACTGTCCAGCTGTGCAAATCCAGGCAGGCGTGCAGACTGCAAAGCTGACTTCCAGTTTCTTCCAGCCCCTCACCAGTCCAGTGTTATCACACAGAGACGACGACATCGAGATAGAGTCTGTCGTAGGACTCGCGGAAGCACAGGATGAGGAGCAGGCTGAGCAGACACGATCCTGGCAGGCACCAGTTGAACCAGGAAAACTCTGTAAAGCAGAAAATAGACCCAATCTCAGAGTTATCCAACATGTTCTGTGTTTAAAGCAACCAAAACTTTGATTGATGGTGGGTTTGAAGGAAATTGCTGTGTTCTGAACAAAATCCCGACAGCTCTCAATCAATAGATGGCTAACATGGTCTACGAGACTTCTCCATGGACGCCTTATGTATAAAGTTTTATATATATATCTACACACACACACACACACAGACACAGACACACACAAACACAGCCTCCAGCTAATGTAAACACACCCCCAGTGCCATGCTAATGGAGAACAAACCACTTCTGAAGACTCTACTCATTAGTTCTTTGATTTCTATGGATTGAAAACTAAAACAAATTAAAAGCATAAGAAGAAGCAGGATTTGAATCAAACCTGCTACACAGTATAAGGAAGGAAAACCAATTCCTCAGAAGAAACTTGTGAGTAGTACAATCAATTCAATTTCAAACTAGTTGCACAAACAGCTCCTCAGAAGCCTCTTTTTAGCTGTTAGACATAACATACTGCTCTTAAAAGCCTGTGTTCCACATTCAAGAAATCCTGTCATCTGATATTTGACTACTAATTAGCAGTTTTATTCAGCTTTTTTTTTTTTTTTAAATCTGTCAATTTACTGAAGAAACATTAATTTTACTGGAGATGGTTGGGGCTTTTTTTTTTTTTAGTTTCCTTTATTATTATTTATTTTTACAGAATCTAAACTCTCCCTCAAAGTCTGAGTTAATCAAAATCAAGACTTCAGCACTGCTACTTTCTTAAATCTGTAATTTATATTGCTAAAAGAAAAAGCACAATTTATATTACACAACGCAAAGGACAGAAGTCAGAAAGCCTAAAAAAAAATCAACCAAAACAGTAACCTTCAACAACACCCTCCCTCATCCCCCAAAATCCCTTACAGATTTGTTTAGGCAGTAATCTTATTAAAACCTTAGTAAAATTTTCCTAGGCTTGGAGAAGATCATGTTATGTGATGCCAGAAGTCAACAGGCAAATGCTTTGCTATTATTTTCCGTATAATACTCTTGCTTAATTGGATTAAATAGACTTGAACCCAAATATCCTAAAAGAACAAATTTAACTCGTGAATCCTTCACATCCTTTGTAATCCAGAATTTGTGACAGCACTGGCGACGCATGCTAACACATCAATTGTGTGAAGCTAAAGGTCGATTTGCTTTTGTTTCTCCCTTGGAAGTCCCCGCAGAAAAGGCGAAGGAACCGCACCCAGAGACCGCGGCTTTGGGTCTCGGGGCACAGCACTAGCAGGGAGGCTGAGCTTTAGAAAGGTTTACACCTCCACCGTGCTAGCTGGACCAAAATCTTCAGTGCACTGCAAAGTTTCTAGGGCTTGGCTCTTTCACAGCCTTTGCAATACCAGAGTATGAGGAGAAAAAACGAGAAATCGGAATTAAAACTACTAAAGATTATTTGGCCTAAAAAGCAAGACCAAGGGAACAAGATAAATTTGACTGAGTTCTGGTTTATCTGTAAGTTTCTTAAATGCCATAAGAGGATGTATTTGAATCAAATGAAAGACAAATGTTTAAGATTGTTATCTACCTTCTGAAGGATTTTTTAATCAAAGGAGCCAATAGCACCCACTGGTGTTGATCCCCCCCCAGTGACCACATGCGCTCTTGTATTTTCCATCATTTGCGATACTGCATCATGGAGAATGGATCAACCTAAGCACAAATTACTTTTTAATTTTTTTTTCCTTTGAAGAAATAGGGAAAATATTCCAAGTGTATGGATATACTAATTTCAGGTTTATCCTTAC